GAGTGTGAGAAAGTATGTGTGTGTTTAGTTGCCACTTACTGTAGGTCTCCTATAACCTGGACATTTTACAGATAAAGCAAATAAGATTCAAAGAGGCTAAGTGACTTTCCTAAGGTCATTCAGAAAGAAATGACTGAGTAGCGATTCACACCCAGGACAGTTCATCACCAAAGCCTATGCCCTTTCTGCGGTCGACAAATATCCGGAAAAATCAACATGTTGTGGAGAGATGGGAGTGGTGTGCATTAAGGGCTGAAATTCAAAAAAAGCTTTGGGAAAAATCCTTGCTAAAGAAAACCCCAAGAACCATACTGTTTTGGCATGCAGCATATGAAAAGAAAATTGACTTTGCTCTGGTTTGAAATGAATGTAGTTAGTCATTGTATTTTGCAATAATCTCCTTTTAGTTAAAAAATGCTTAGATGTATAAATTAAAATTTATTGTTTGCAGAAAGTTTATCTTATCAGCATTAACTATTATCAAGCATAATAGTGAAGAAATGTATTTGAAGAAAAGACTTGGAAATAACCTAAAATTCTCTTTCATAAAAACATAACAATGTTCAGTTTCAGATATTTTCCCCCAAATATTATTTATCTTGTCAAATAAATTGACTTCAAAGAGTAGAATGGCCAAGTCTTCCAGTAGGGTCCAGTGTAGTTTATGTGGGAATTTGAAATAGAAAAGAAGTTGAGGGCCATGAGAGATGGGAGGAGGTTTATGCAAAAGAAGCTCATCATCCCAAGAAGTGAGTGTGGAGAAAATCAGAGGGAAAAGGAGGATCATAGCTGAGGTGAAGAGAAAGGAAATGTATAAAATTAGAAATGGATCCGTGAAATGTAGATTGAACAAAAGACTTTTACCAATAATGTTTATGCACTGTTACCCAAACATTTGGTTAAATTACTGAAAGAAGTCATCTGAAGTAATTAATTAATTATAGGTTTGGATATAGTAAAATACATAAAAGTTACTGTCCTTCAGTAATGCCCTGTATAATAAAGGGATTTTTTAGTCTATTAATACAATAAAATAATTGCACAGTTTTTATTTGGGGATGTTCTTGGTAGGTATAATCTTTCCCATTTTGCTAGTTAACCCCCCAAAAAAATGTGTATATAAAAAAGAAGTGTTTTTAAAAAAATATAAAACCAGGCTTCAGATTTAACTGCTTTCAGTAGAATATCTCTTTTGTTAATTTTATTTTTAAGTAATTAGTTTAAAAGAATTAGTAAGTATGTCACCTGGGACAGGAGGTTTCTAGGTTAGCTTAGTGGTTCCTCTCCCTGCAGTGACTTAAAAATGTATGACTTTTTCATTTTATGAGCCTCTGTCTCATGATACAGAGTAAAATATTCCCTCATATCTTTAGTCATCGAGAAGGGTCCATATAAATATGCCCTGAGATTTCCAGGAAAGGTAGGTGTTTAGGCAATAGGAAGAAACAAGAGTTCAGAGTTATTTGGGACCTCCTCACATTGTCTCTATCTGGCCATCTCTAGTTCAGCTGTCTTTCAGTCTTTCTGTGTCTTGCTCTTCCCCATGTTGGTCCTTCAGCCCTCTGTTTCCTTCCAGCTCAGCGCTATGTCATGGTAATAAAGAACCAGCCAAGTTTGACTCATGTATGTGTGTGTTTTAGCTGAATCATTCCTACAATTATAAAATTATTCAAGGCAGTAAAATTAAACTCTCCCTTGCCACTAAACCAAAGAATGTAGTTAAAGATGTCCATCATTGTCCACCTAAAATATGCCATAAATTACATGAGTTGAAGGGTATTTAATTCAGCTTATCTGAGGAAGGAAGAAATAGCAAAATAACCTTAGTGAAAATACAGTCCTCAGTACCTGATGCGTCCAGGTCACAGACCTGATACAGCCAAGACTTTTGACCACGGAGCCTTATTTAAAGACAAATTGTATCATAGAATTGGGACAATCTTATTCTTACATTTTGGGATTCCACTATAGCACGCCGAAGAGGTAATCATGATGAAAGCTTTCATCTTTCCTCTAAATCCATTGTCAACTCTGCATGCATCTAATGAACATAGCATCTTCTATCACATACAAACTTAAACTTTCTCAACCCCAAACTGAATGGATGGTCCTAAGAATTTGATCACATTCATGACCACCTTTTGGTCAACTAAGAGTACCAGTTCCAGGTAGACTTTCCCTCCACCTTCATGTGACTCATTGCCATTACCTTGTGACCGTGTCTTTGCACCCAACTGTTTTAGAGGAGTTAACTGCGTACAGTCAGGATGTAGTGGTCCTGTATAAGTCAAGCCAATCCATATCCATCCTCAGCCCAATTAATAGACCTCACAGTCCCATGCCAGGTCTTCCTATGTGGCAAAAGTCATTCTGAGCCATACAGTGAATTGTTGCTTCAGAGTTTCTAGTATTCCCCACAGAAGGTCACAGAGAAGTGGTTATGATTCAGACCTTTCTGCTTCTTGCACTCATGAAAGCAGGCCAGACTCATGAGCCAATTCTAACTCAAGGATGTAAACGTACATTTCATTGTATGTGGCCAGGTCCAGCCAAGAAAGGCAAGACTTCAGGCTTTGGAAGTATGGTAGACTACATGATCTGAAAGCCCTCTGCTAAAAGGTAGCGAATGTAAGATAAAATATAGAAAGCATTTGCTTCAATGCATGGTGGAGAGAGCAAAAATGTTACAATATTGCCAAGGGAGAAAAACAAAAAGGGAGCCACAAAGCAAACCAGTGAGGGCATGAGCCCCGCCAGAGCTGAGCTTCCGGCTGGGGTCCCAGAACCCACCTCAGGAAAGGGAGGGCTGGTGCTTCTGCCTGGAAACAGGTCCACACAAGGTAGCCTGCCTTGTTTGTGTCCCAGTAGCCATGGCCAGTTTCTTTAAAGGGGCTCCATGATCCTGTGGGTACCAGCCTTCTTCATGCAGAGTGAGGGGCTTGGCATGTTTACAAAGCCGCCTCACCAGCTCCTCAGATTAAAGGCGTGTCCTCGGTTCCCTCTGTGCCTGCTGACCCAGCGTGCCCATCCCTCAAGCCATCCAAGATACGTGCGACACAAAGAGGGGTCGTTTGTGTTTGTCCATACCTCAGAATGCTGGTTATATGTAGTTTTGTAATTTTATACCTTAATACTAAAGAAACAGGAGTGTGAAAAGAAAGGGCACTGTTGTTTCTGTGCAAGCCAAGTTCTGTGCTTTGGAAAGGAAAAGAAAAATGGTGTTATCCATTAAGATGAGAGCAAAACAGTTGTAAAAGAGTGCACTGGGGGAAGAATGTAAAAATCTAGAAGGGCCTAACACTGTGTGTCGACTATACCAGAATTAAAATAAAAAAACCTAATTAAGGGGCATCTAGCTGGCTCAGTCAGTTGAGTGTGCAACTCTTGATCTCAGGGCTGTAAACTCGAGCCCTGTGTTGGGTATAGAGATTCCTTAAAAATAAAATCTTCAAAAAAACAAACAAACAAAAAACTTAAATTTAAAATATTTAGAAGGGCCATAATACAGTAAGTATATGGAAGGAATAGAGAACTTCATCAAGTCTGGTGAATTGCTTTGTTCCTTGTTAGAGCAGGGGAAGAATTTAAAGACACTTGGACATTGGCAAAGCAGTCTGAGTACAGAAGCACGCAGGCACCTGCTTGCGAGACGCTGGGTTCTCTATAAAGTGCTCTTCACATGGTCTCTGCACTGTTTCACCCCAGAGGCTCAGTTGTAGGGGCTGTCTGTGAGTGTGGAGAACGCTAGTAACCAAAAGAAGCATATTATGATATAATGATGAAGTAGATAGGCTTTGGGGCAAGGCGGACCTGGTTTGAATTTTAAGTCTGCATTTTATTTGTCCTGATGCAGTAAGTCATGAAACATCTCCAATCCTATCTGCTCATCAGAAAATAGGGGTGATAATAATACTACCTTGCCCCTGAAATTTTTGTGAGAATTAAATGAGATAATGTTTGGGAAGCACATGGCATCACGTCAGGTTCAACATTAGTGTTCTAGAAATAACAGCTGTTAAGATTCCATTGTTTGGCTTTTCTAAAATTGATATATAATATTTATATTTATAATTGATATATAACATTTTAAAAACATGGGTTCTGGTAGGAGGCTACAGACATTTTTTTAAAGCACATTACTGTTGAAAAATATCGGTCGGTCATTGAGCAGGGGATTAGGAAACATTTCCACATGTGCCACAGGAAAATATTAAATAAAATATTTATTAACCAAGCACTAGGCCAAAGATTAGGGGTAAAGCACAAGGCCAAAGGCTAAGGGCAAACCTAGAGGTTTGCCCTCGAGGGGTATTGATCCACTTGGGAAAATGCCAAAAACATCACCAAGTAAGCTCATTTAATTACCAGTTAAATGTTCAATGTAGACACTGAGGGCTGTGTGTTCACGGTAGCCTCTGAAGCCCGGAGTGATGGCTAAGTACCGTAATGCTGTGAGAAAGGAAGGTGATAAAATTAGAAAAATGGGTCCTGAGGTAATGTCACACTGCAGGATCAGGACCCCTGGAGAGAGAGGTTTCGCCCTGAGGAAGTCCTGAGATAGCAGAGGGGTGAGGAAAGGGTGCTCAGAGAAGAAGTTTCCAAGTTTCCAAGAAGTTTCCAAGTTTCCAAGAAGCCCACGTACCCCACGCTCCAAACCAGAACAGTGATATGTTCTACGCTATCAGGAAGTTGGGTAGGGCTTTGAAACCAAGGCCTGTATCTCCCCAATGGCACTGCCGTTGCAGTGAGTGTGAATAGAATACCCACCACGGAGATAAAACCAGGGAGTCAGGGACCCGCAGATACTGATGAGAGATCCTTACCGTGAAGTCAAATGCAAGAAAAACCTTCACTGTCCAAAGGAAAGGTGTCTCGCTTCTTTACACCTTCCTCACCCTTGAAGAATGTTTTGCTTCCTGTGACCAGTGGTATCATGACCAATATGACTGAATGGTAACTTGAGAAAATTCCCTGTTTAATATGTATCTTTATTCTTGTAGGCCTCTTTTTCGGGGAAGTTCAGACGTGGATCAGCTTGGAAAAATCTTGGAGTAAGTAGTAACTGTAGTTTTACATCAACATCATAGCATTAAAGCAATCGCAGTGCCTTTCGTCTGACATTCATAATAAATATTTATCTCTTGACTTTCCTCCCCCACACTGCCCCCTCAGTCGGTGTTACTATTTGTGTGGTGAGTGGGGACATGGCAGACATGCTGTTTTACGCAGAGCCCATCATGATGTGTGACCTAACATAGAAGCTCTGGAAGGTTGTATGTTGCTCGTGTGGATCTTTTCCAGGATCCTCCTTCTCCACTTGACTGAGCTACATTTCTTGAGTTCAGATGTATTGTCTGCTTGGGGCTATTTCCTGTGCATCCACCAGCTGAGGTGGGGTGCTTGGTTGCCTGGTAACCCATCCTTGGCCTCTGGGCTTCCCATCCCCATTGAGTATCCCCACTGAGTCATCTGGATTGGTTTTGCATTGTTTTGTTTTGGTTGGTTGGTACTGGTGGGCTCCGCAAGCCATCTTTCTTTGGAGCACTGACACAGGAAATGAGACTTCTAGGTACTAACCGTATGTTTGCTGCTAAATTCTGTGCGATCTTGAGAAAGTCATTTAAAATGCTGTGTAAAGTGCATACACGATGCCTGGTACATAGTGAATGCTTTTAAAATGGTAGCTGTGGTTATAATTCATCATGCATTGTTTAACCCTTTTGTTCGTTAACTTCTTCACCTGAATAATGAAACTTTGGACGTAAATTCTAAGATCCTTTCTTGCGCTCAAATTCTTTGGATCTAATTGTCTGTTACTTAGCGCAATGATTTGCAGAGTTCTGTTCGTGTCTACACGTTTGTGCCTGTGGGAGTATGGATGCTTTCATGTTTCTAGAATGTTAAGAAGGGGCTTTTCCTCTCAGAAAGCATGAAGTATGTGTACTTCCCAAGCCCCATCAGATCGGGGTGAAGAAAAAAGTGGGAGTTCCAGAGCCAAAAATAGCCCCAATCATTGGTCCTTAACATTTTTGTAGGAATTCCAGTGATCTTTATGAAATTTTCAGTCCATAAAACTGGTGAAAAATACCCGTAAAGAAACTAATTATATGTTAACGCTATCTCCTGGAGCATGACTGCCTAAAACAGTTGGAATAAACCTGGAGCCTCAATTTGTTCTTCTAGTGACTGGAAAGCTCCACTAGACTTACTGATGATGCCAGTCCGCTGCTGAATCACACCCCGTGGCTTTAAGGCCCAATATTTGCTGGTGTTACTGTGTGGGGGCTTCCCTGGCCCAGGGCAGCTGCCAAGACTCCCGCTCCTCCCCCTCCTCCTCCTGCCACTTCATAAGATGGACAGATTCAGGACAAAACTCATGTTCTCTCTGCTTCTGGATGTCAACTTCTGTGCTCATAAAGTGATGAACCCCTCTCTAGTCTTCCCCATCACTGTTGAATGTAGTTTGTGTGCAGTGTGAACCTGAAGCAGGAACCGGGAAAGTCAGACACACCAGTGACTCTGTTAAAAGCAAAAGTGATCTTGACGGCACCCAGCTTGCCAGACCTTAAACCCGTCACTGCCTTTCCCTTACGGACATGACCTGGGCGTTCTGTCCGCCTCTAGCCCTGGGCTCTGTGGACTTGTTAGCCTTGTTAGTGCCCCTTCATATCTGAAGCCAGGGAGATGGACCCGAAAGAACCTCTGACAAACATGTTTGACCTTGCTCCCAAGGGAAAGCCAGCCCCACTGTGGCAAAGGCCTAAGACCCTAGGTTGACAGCAAATAAGAAGCCGTGAAGTTCTGTAGGCCTTATGCCTTCAGCATTTCCTTCTTGGTTTCTGGCACTGTTTGCTGAGATTATGTTCTGTTTACTCTGCATTTGTTACTTTGGCATAAAGAAAAGGGACAATGCTGCACCCTAGTGTCATTTCTAAAGGACTTGAAAAATGATTTCTGTCCCCACTGCCATTTATAGATTTTGTGCTGTCAGTCTTTATAGTACAAATGTCAACTTTTAAGGCTTATATTCAGCTGTCCAAATACTGAAATTTGATGCAAGCACTTTTTAATGGACCTATCAGAGTCTCACAACACTCATGTATGGGCCATTAAAGTTCATACTCGGTATTAAAGGGATTTTTTTTTTTTTTAAAGGAAGGCCACATTCACATTCTCTTACGGGGAGAACTGTTTCTGCATTTAGAAAGATTTATACTTCAAAGAACAGCAAGTACTTTGAAAGTGAAACTGAATGCTGTGAACTTGTGACATTTTAGAGCATTTTTCAGAGCAGAGTCATAGTTAAATGGAAACAAAATATTGGCTTTGGAATAAGGAGAGCTGGGTTCCCTGGCATTCCTGATCTGTGGCTGAACTCACTGTGGATTGATAGATTTCACTCATCCCTTCCTTTCTACATCTATAAAAAGGAAGTAATAATGACCTTTGTGTCTCAGGAGGTCATTATGGGATCAGAGGAGGCAACAGATTTAGAAATACTTTTGAAAGTTATTATATAGCCAGCTAGCTGCACATGTAACCACACATACATGTACACACAGAGGCACTCGGCTTTGCTCTTGGCCTTCAGCTGCCCATATAACCTGGTTTATTTCAATATATTTGAAAAGATTTTAAATTATTACTAAGAATTTTTATAATTGATTTCTAGATGACTGGCGATGATATGCAAAAAATATATAAAAATAGCTGAAAAGCTAAAAATGAAGCAAATAAAGTTCTTTCATTAGCATTCTCTTCTTCTTCTACCTTTCCCATTCTTTCCAAGCATATATATATATATATATATATATATTTATGTCCTTTCATAATTAATAGTGGTATCTTTTCTTTCTATTCTTTCTCTAGATCTTGCTGTTCAGCAAATTTGTGTATTGCCCAAGTTGTCATTTCCCTTCACTTGTTATGGTAGCTGTGTCCATGAGTCTGTCTTTATTTGCCTCAACACCATAGCTCTCCCAGCATGTCCAACAGAGGTAGGATTACAGTGTCTTTTCCTGGGCACCCAGTGACAGGTGCAATTACAATACAGGTGTCTGCTCTTCCCAGGTGAGGTCTGTGACCTGGGCTCTGTTGAGGGAAGGGAGGAGGAAAGAGAGCCTTACAGAGAGCCTGTGATGTTCACCACCACATCTTCCTGAAACCTGGAAATCCATGCAGGAGAACACATCTCGACCTTTGTCCCAGTGAGCGCAGGCCAAGGAGAAGGTTCTGATGCAGGCTAGCACCATTTCTAACTGTAGTTAAAATAATTTGGTCAGGGGCACCTGGTTGGTTCAGTTGGTAGAGCATGCAACTCTTGATCTCAGGGTTGTAAGTTCGAGCCCCACATTGGGTGTAGAGATTACTTAAAAATAAAAGCTTAAAAAAAAAAAATGTGGTCAATTTGAATAGCCTTATATGCTGTCCATTACATTATAACTTCTCAGTTTGGAGTTAGAGTCTATAAGTAAGATACCTAAGTTCTTGCACCCCCTGATTTCCCTTGTTCAAACCTACTTACTATCTATACATAGACTTTGTTTTTGTTTGTTTTTTTTTTGAGATTTTATTTATTTATTTGAGAGAGAGTGAAAGTCAGAGAGATCACAGAGGGAGAGGGAGAAGCGGACTCGCCAGTGAGGAGGGAGCTCGACTCAGGGCTGGATCCCAGGACCCTGAGATCATGACCTGAGCCAAAGGCAGATGCTCAACCAAGTGACTTACCAAGACGCCCCTACATACATACACTTTAAATACTATCTCCATGGTGCAGGGGCATGTGGGTGGTTCAGTCCATTGAGCATCCCACTCTTGGTTTCCAGTGGGTCGTGATCTCGAAGTGGTGGACGTGGCCCCCCTTGTCACCCATCAGGCTCTGTGCTGAACATGGACTCTGCTTGTCACCACCCCTCAATTCATGTGAGCTATCTCTTTCAAATAAGTAAATAAAATCTTTTTTTTTTTTAAGATTTTATTTATTTATTTATTTGTCAGAGAGAGAGAGAGAGAACACAAGCAGGCAGAGCGGCAGGCAGAGGCAGAGAGAGAAGCAGGCTCCCCGCCGAGCAAGGAGTCTGACGTAGGACTCGATCCCAGGACCCCAGGATCACGACCCGAGCCGAAGGCAGCGGCCCAACCAACTGAGCCACCCAGGCATCCCAATAAAATCTTCTTTTAAAAAAATCTCCATAGTGTATAAGTTGTGTAAAGCCACTGACCTAATAACATTTCTGAAGAACCTCAAGTCACACGTCAAGAGGACTCAAGTAGTTTGTATTTTTAGTGTGGTAGTGATACATTGCCTCTGCATTTTAGATTAATAACATTATTTGCCTCTTACAATAATAATAATGGGTGGGGCACCTGGGTGCCTCATTTGATTGGGCATCTGCCTTCATCTCAGCTTATGATCTTGGAGTCCTGGTATCCGGCCCCATGTCAGGCTCCTTGCTCATCAGGGGATTCTGCTTCTCCTTGTTCCACTGCCCCTCCCCCTCTCATGCTCTCTCTCTCTCTCTCTCTCTGTCTCTCTCTCTGTCTCAAATCAGTAAAATCTTTAAAATAATAATGGGTAATATATTGATATTGACAAGTACTGTGTGTCAGGTACTGTGCTGTGCACTTCATATAAATTATCACTGTAAATTATGATTGTTAATAAATAAAGACACAGAAGGTTGTGAGGCTCACAGAAGTTAAGTAATTTGTCCTTACCTACGAATTAGTTGTACCCAGAATTTGAACCCAGTTCTGCCTTTTCCAAAACCTATGCTTTTTTTTTAATTTATTTTTCACATTTAAATATAGTTGACATACAATGCCCTGTACTGTTTCTGTATCACATGATCCTCTCTCCATGTTTCTGACCCCAGAATAATTTTCGGGGGAAACATAAATGATACTGCCTTTATTTATTGCTTGCTCACTTTGGAATACCGTAAAATAGTTTCGTAGGGGCGCCTGGGTGGCTCAGTCGGTTAATCATCTGGCTCTTGATTTTGGCTCAGGTCTTGATCTCAGGGTTGCGAAATCGAGCCCTGTGTCAGGCTGTGCTCAGCCCAGAGTCTGCTTGTCTCTCTCCCTCTGTTCCTCCCCCCACTTGCTCGCTTGCTCTCTAAAATAAATAAAATCTTTTAAAACACAAAAATTACTTTTTAATATAAAATATATATAAACTAAATTAATTTGATTTGAAATTAAATTATAAAATAGTGTTTGCCTAGCACAGGATTAACATACCTTTTTAGCCTCTTTTTGGTCTGATTCTGACATATGTAATTACTGTTCGGGAATTATTCTTTAGCCCAAAGTGCAACCAAATTTATTTGTTAATGAGTCATACTAAATGAGCATCATAAAAGCATGTCAATATGATCAGAACACAAAAAGCACTCTTGGGCATAAAGGAAAATAATGCCCGTGTGGGCCTCCTACTCTGTCAGTATGTCAGGACTTACTGGTAATAATACTGTTTTCTCTTTCTGCATCCCCTCATACGTTTACTATGTGCCACCAGAGGATTCTCTTACGTCTTCCCAGTGAATTTTACAATGCTGCTGTGAGACGGCCCTCTACCCTGTGATCTCTGTATCGCAGGAGGACAGAGATGACAGACTGGCCAGTAACATCAGTGGGGGGCCCCCAGGATGCTGTGTACCCCATACCTGCCTCTCAGACTTCACCATCATCTGGATTTCGGTGGGGAAATAGCTTCAGCATGGCAGCTAATGATGCTAATGTTCACACCTGGTTCTTTCGTAGCGTAATTGGACTCCCAGGAGAAGAAGACTGGCCTAGAGATGTTGCCCTTCCCAGGCAGGCATTTCACGCAAAAGCTCCTCAGCCGATTGAGAAGTTTGTAACAGATATTGATGAACAAGGCAAAGACCTACTTCTGGTAAGTTCACGCGGTGCGGAGTCGGTCTGTGTGGTGCTGATGAGGGACGTGACCTGTCCACTGGCTGGTTCCCGGCGAGGTGGACGCAGCATTTGGTATCACATACCATAGCCACGCAGAGCAAGAGGCCGCAACCTCTCTTCAGCTTTCATTTCCACACCTGCGGGAGCTGGTGGCCTCTGATTCTGGAATATCTTCGCTTCCTGCAGAAAGAGAAAGAGTCTGATCCACACGCTTTCAATGGGCCGTCTTTAAATGTTCATTTGAACGCAGCCGCAGAAGCCTCTCGATTGATCTAGACACACGCTTTCCACAGGCAGTGAAGGTGGCATGCAGGTAGAAAATACCTCACCGAAAATAAGGATTCGTGTTCTGTTTGAGATTCAGACTCGTAATACTTGGCCTTACACATCTTCCCTACACTCAGGGGACAGACCAGAGGTAGAGGAGTGGACCTGTTGAGCTACCCTTGGTGTTCAGAACCCAGTGAGTAATGAGTGTATCCTTTCCCTACTACTGACAACCTTTGATATCTCACCAAGAAAGCGCTCCTGGACCTGGAGGCACCAGGGCTCCGTTCTGCCGAAGCAGTCTAAATTTCTGATGCAGACCGACGAGTCTGTAGGCTTTGGTAGAAATGTTCTACTTTAGCTCTTCGTGGACACAGCCATTCATGGGCATGTTCGCAGAGCCATGGGGTCTCCCAGCGAAAGCAGTAATTCCATCTTCACCTGATGGCGGCTCGTTTTCCGGCTTACTCAGATTCCCTGCACCGCCATGTTACGGAGAAGGACGGCTTTATTCCCTAACACACTCACTAAGGACTTTGACTCACATCCTTGGAAATCAGTTATTATCATTAGAAAGGAGAATATAGTCTCCTGTACAGATGCTCACTGTATGGACACACGTGCTGGCTCACCTGCTATTTAGGAAAATTTTTCCCGGGTTTCAGATAACAGACAAGTACTTGCATTACCTTAAGAAAAGGGGGTTTGATGGAATGTTTCATGTGGCCTGGCAGTGGAAAGCCACCCGGAGTGTGAATGCTCTCTCAGTCCTGCTAAGAGCATCACCAGGTGTCTGCTTATCTCTGCCCTGCAGGCCTTTTCTCCCCCTCGCTGCCTCTTTTCGGTAGTACTGTCTGCCCCCCTTAGCTGTGCCGGGCCCTTTGACTTCAGAACTTCAGCCAACTCATGGATGCTTTGAGCTCTAACCTCCACTGCTCACATTTGTTCTGTTAGTATTTCCTACATCGGATTCCTAAAAGGAAGAGTGTGGCTGACACACCCACCTTTTTGCCAAGCCATGATAAGAGTTGCTGCCTAGAGCCGAGTCACCATTCCTGGTCCAGTCAGCTCTGCCAGGAAGGGGTAGGGACAATGTGTTAGAAAAAACGGCCGCCATGGGCTTTCCTTTTCAGCAAGAACTTTGAATGGAATGCTCCTCTTAGAAGATTCTGGACACAGAATCACAATGATAGCCAATTTTAGTAGTGAAGCATCCCACTCCTTCAGCTACTGGGATACCCAGAGACGGCTCAGAGTATCTGTTAATTCCAACATCAGGACAAATCACCAAGAGGAACTTAAAATGTCAAGATAGCAGACAATGCCCCAGGCTCATTCAGTGTCTCCCACTAGTGGTGGCTTTCCAAGTCATAAGACACACGAGTGCTCAACTAGAGAAGTAGCAGATAGAGAAGAAAAAGGTGCAAAGAGACTACCAGAGACACAAGGCGGAGGGCGACAGTGAGTGTCAGCAGAGATTAGAAAAAACAAAGGAACAAGAAGCAGCCCCAGTGACATCAGGACTAGAAGAAACATAAGGATAAAACATAATAATTCACGGGCATTCCAGGAGAGGACAGCCCAGGACCTCAACGCTTAGAACCCCTGAAAGATCTCACTGTTTCCTGCTCGAGGGACATAGGGGAGGACTATACAGAGCAGAAGAAAGAGAGCCATCCAGTACCAGAGAGGCAGCTGAGACCCCAGCCATATTTGTTGCCTCTTTTTCAAAGTGATTTAGTAAGGATGAAAGAGGGAAAAGTAGTTCCAAAAGTTGTTTCATTTAAGAAACAGCATTTTAGTTTTAGCACTCTGAGAATTGTCCTTTATTTTATCTGAAAACAAGGCTGACACTCCAGTGTCTCAGCCATGTACGGATGGATGTCCGCCTTGGTGTTTACAAATGCTCTTACACACGTAAGTAGTGCACAGTCATAAGACCATTCAGGGGGATGATTATTTTTAACATCCAAAACCTACCCCATCTTTACAAGTTTCGTCCCCTTCATCGTGATTAATTTGAGAGGCTGGGTACTTATTCCAAGTATGAAGCTCTTGCTAAAAAAAGTTTCTGTTGTCGAACTGTTTTCAGAGCCTTGAGGCACATATTAGGAGACAAGGGTTTTCCTTGGATTAGTATGCTTTTGCTGCATAACATACAACCCAAAACTCTCCCTAGCATACAGCAGTAAGCATTTATTTCTTGCTTACGGGTCTGCAGATTGGCAGAGACCGCTGTGCTGCGGCCTGTGAGTCAAGGACAAGTGTTCTGTGTGTGTCTCATTCTGGGCCCCAGAACAAGAGGGCCTTTGGGTCCCTGGGGCATGTTTTTCTCATAATAGAAGATGGATGCTCCCATAAGGGCAAGCAGAAACACATGATGGCCCCAATGGCCTAGGCTTGGAAGGCACCCTGCTGCTTCTGTCCACGTTCCACTGGCCAAAGTAAGTTACATGGCCAAGGCCAACTCTAATAGAAGAAAGAATACTTCTCCCATGAAGGGAGGGGTGGGAAGAAGGAGGATACGTGTTGAAAAATGATCCCGTCCGTCACAGTAGTCAATTCTTGACTAAATAGCAGTTCCAGAAGTTCATTTTATCAGTTATTTGGCAAGTAAATTAGATTTTCTTGGAGAAACAATATTCTTACACAAGACTTTGAATTAATTCTCAAGTCTTCTAAGTTCTCTGTTGAGGTAGAACTGTGATGGAACTTAGCCACCATGTCTATCAATGTTTCTGTAGGACTTAAGTATTAAGACTTCCAATTTGGGGCACCTGGGTGGCTCAGTCAGTTGAGTGTCTGCCTTCGGCTCAGGTCATGATTCCAGGGTCCTGGGATGGAGCCCCAAATTGGGCTCACTACTTGGCAGGGAGTCTGCCTCTCCCTCTCCTTCTGCCCCTCGCAGACCATTGCGCACGCGTGTGCGGGTACACGCTCGCTCTCTCTGTCTCTCCCTCCCTCTCAAATAAATAAATAAAATCATTTAAAAAAAAGAGAGAGACTTCCAACTTGAGATTCTTACACACTTCCACATTAGGCTAAGGAGTTCTCCTCTCCACCCTCTTCCCTGCTCTAAGCCATCAGGATAGCTGTGGGGATGGGCTTCCTCCCACACAGTCCTCTAGGGACAGGTCTCTCTATCTTGAACATGTTCCCACAACTTTTTTTTTCTTCGTCCCTATGTCCTGGGGATTAAACTGGCTGCTTCCTTTCCTAATGTCACTACCTAATTTTCTCCTTCCTGGACTCTGGGGAAGAGAAAACTCAGGCTCAAGGATTTTGCCCCTGCTCTTCTGTCATGAGGAAATTCAGCCCATGTAAAACTTCTCTTAGATGTTTATTGCTATTAGAGACAGTAGGACCATTCTAGCAACAAGCTCCTTCCTCTGCTTGCCCTTTGGCTCTTTTGTTTTCAGGAGACATTGTGAGAAACCGCCATCCACGGACTGGTGGGGAGCTCAGCTTAATTAAGATTTCAGGAGACCCAAAAATTTGCCTGGAATTATATATAGAATTTTCCAGGTCAGTGGTGTTCAACAGAATGTTAGAGAGGGTCCTAATCTAGTCAGAACCTGACTGAGACTCTGAGCTCCTCGAGAGCAAAAACCCAGGTTAAATGGAAGAGGTCAGCGTAACCATGGTAATGTGAAGTCTTTAGATGACAGATAGGACTGAAACTGGCAGACATTTCAGGTCCCCAGCTCACTGCAGTGTGCACTGCATCACACGGATGGGGAAGCCGGTAGGGTTTTTCTGCTCCTTGTGTGTTCCTGGGTGATGGGTGGGTCTGACTCATCCTTCACTAGTGCTGCCCACCTGCTAGGTGCTGTGGAGGTGTTGGTGGAAAGACAGGAAGAGGATTTGAAGGACACCCAGGGTTGGAGTGGAAACGGAGCTGAGGTTAGAGAAGCGCTCTGCCTGCTTGATGGTGAATTGGCAGTTGGGGAGTAGAGATTGCTGCTCCAGAGGTTGGCGTTCCCCCGCTTTGACCTTCTGCCTGCACTTGGGCTGACAGCCCGGAATAGAGTTCGGTACCAGAACTGAACCTGGAGGATGGTCCAGCCCTGGGGCAGAGTCCATGGCTGGCTGGTGGATTGAGAAAAGTTGGTCCTAGGTGTTGGCCCTTACTTGCCCTCTCCTTCATAGAGAACATCTTTATTTCCTGGTTAAAATGGATTTCCTTTTTTGTTTCTTCTGTTGTTGGTTTGGTTTAGTTTTGATTATAGAAATATGTCAGAAACTGTTAATGATTAATTAGCCTTTTATCCCTGAGCAAGGTAACCCCCCTTCCATTCCTGACTCAATCAGTAAACCTTGGGGGAGGGTAAAAAGTTTAAAAGCTTAGTCCTGAGTGTAGCACTAAGTTGGCTAGCATTAGAAAAATCACTATCTAAATAAAGTTGTGTACATACTACAATAATAATAGTATATTTTAAAGGATATGGTGTGGGTTGAAGGGAAAGCCTGGGGAGGTAACAGTCCACAGGCACCCCAAAAGCTGTTGCCTTTTCCTGAAGGGCAGTTTATACCTTGAGGTCATATATAAGATGGCTGTGTCTATACATTTTGTTTAGTGACCCTTTTTTTTAAGTTTTTTTTTTTTTTTTTTTAAAGACTTTATCTGGGAGAGCGCAAAAGCAGGAGAGATCACAGAGGGAGAGGGAGATTCAGACTCACCACTGGGCAGGGAGCCCAATGTGGGACTCAGTCCCAAAACCCTGAGATCATGACCTGAGCCGAAGGCAGACACTTAGCCCACTGAGCCACCCGGGCGCCCCCTTATTTATTTTAGAGAGAGAAAGAGAGAGCAAGCAGGAGGCGGGGGGAGAGAATCCAAAGAAGACTCCCTACTACGCATGAAGCCCCATGAAGGGCTCCATCTCACCACCGTGAGATCATGACCTAAGCCGAAACCAAGAGTCATCCGCTCAGCCAACTGAGCCCCCCAGGCGCCCTGTAGTGTCCCTTGAAGTAGATGCTCGTTCTCTTTCTAGACACACTTAATTCATGTAGTGAATACATGTGTAACTGTCTCAACATATTATTTAGATGGACATGTTTTACATCAATCGATGATTCTTTCTTTATCACAGAAGTGCTTAACATTCAATCCAGCCAAAAGAATATCAGCCTACAGTGCCCTGTCTCACCCATACTTCCATGACCTGGAGAGGCGCAAGGAGAACCTGGACGCCCGTCTGCCGCCCAACCAGAACAGCTCAGACATGAACACAGCCTAAGGCCCCCGCTGCTGCCTTGTGCTGATCACCTGGAGAACACCCCTGGTGGCTGATGCCACCCCTCCCTCACCCTGAGTAAGCCCCAGCAGAGCTGCTGAGGATCACTGGCTGGGGACCTTCTAGTTGCCGTCTTCTGGACGGGCTCTGCTTCTCCATGGAAACCGCTTAGTTTACTGTTTTGAAATCAATGCAAGAGTGATTGCAGCTTTATGTTCATTCGTTTGTTTGTCTGTCTGTTTGTTTCGAGAACCTGGAAAAATTCCAGAAGAAGAGAAGCTGCTGACCAATTGTGCTGCCATTTCATTTTCCTAACCTTGAATGCTGCCAGTGTGAAGTGAGCAATCCAGGCACAGCTGAGTTATGATGTAATCTCTCTGCAGCTGCCCCAGCCTGATTCGGTACTTTTGAGTGAGAGTGTGTGGGCGCGCGCGCTTGTGTGTGTGTGTGTGATTCTTGTTCTCTTAAAGTGTTACTTTCTGTAAACAACAAGAAGAATTGAATTTGAAAGACTCAAAGTGACCTATAAATAACAGGTTTCTGTTGACTACAGGTGATTTATCAGAATGGGCTTCTTGAATTAGAAAGTTGAGCCCATGTCCTCAGAATTTCATGGTCAAAAGCAGTAAATTTGCTAGCATTAAAAGGTTCACTATCTAGATGAGGTTTTATACACAAAACAAAGGAAAAAAAAATACTGGTATCTTTTAAAAGACCTGTTTTTTAAAGCATACAATCTAGTTACTCTTCAAAAAAAGCTGAATTTACTCAGTATAAGTCCATTTTAACTTGTATTATATGCTTTTATTGTTTCTTTTGAAAAATACCCTATAAGCTTTTTCTTACTTGCTATAGATTAAGGGAGTGTACCTCAAATAGGTAAAATTGTCAAAAAAAAAAAAATTAGAGAAAGCCTTTATTTCCTGATTTGAAATCTATTTCCTTCTTGGGTTTTGTTGTTACTTTATTTTACTCTTGATTTTAGAAATTTGTCAGAAACTGTCTGCTATCTTGGTGTGGAGAGTAGTTCTCTCTGACCAGAGACAGGAATATCATTTAAGTTTTCCCTATTACACTGTACGTTTTCTACCATGCACTGCCTTGTTTGCAAAGTGTCCATCTTCTCTATCCCCCAGGACCTCTAATATATAGTACTACCATTACATAACTGATAACAGATTGCCCACACTTTTCACAAACACCTCCTGCTTGCTTGCTTTCAGTGAACCTTTTGTGAATACTTAGATTCAGATTGTGGCTTATGGCTCCAATTTCGCGATCCTAACAGGGTCCCCCCAGTATGTCCTCATTCTGATGCAATCTTCCTACCTGGCATTCATTGTTGTTATCTAGGCAGTGAGTAGAGGACTGGTTCTTCTCTTATCACCAGCACATAGATTGCTTTAAACTGTTACTTAGCATTTTACAATTTTTTTAGAATATATTGTCAGTTAGAATCAGAGGGAATGTCTTTAACTATTTTTTAGAAATATATATTTACTCTATAAAATGATCTTTTCTCCATCCCCCAGGCTGTGCTTGTTCCTAGTGCCTTGTGCCTACTCCTGCTCTCTGCAGAGCCAGCCTGACCTGGGCATTGTGAACAGCTTTATTTTTTTCTCTTGCCGTTTTTCTCTACTGTTCTTTCTGTTCCAGTGTCATCTCTGCCTTATATGTGATTAGTGCTCAAAGACACAGAGATGAAGCATCTTTCTGGAAATTTAGCTGTCTCTGCTTTCTGACTCATGATTTGAGTGCGTGCAACAGTTAGACTATGTTTAGAGTTAGGGTTTTCAAAAAATGAACATTGCTTCCCTCAGTAGAAAATGTTTCAGATGATGTTTATATGTTGTCAAGCCTTCCTGAATTCTTCACAGCTCAGTGTTTCTGTACTACCATCTTGAGCAAGAAAAAAATTAGAAGACTTTTCTCCTGGAAAGCTTTTTGCGGTGGGAATTACTCTTTTTTAGTATATACGTTGTTTAACTTTTTTCTAACTCAGTAACTTGAAGGGCAGGAAGATTTGTCTAAAACCGGATACAAAATGAGAAGATGGGCCATATGACTGTTTTATGCTTTCTTCGTTGTTCACAATATTGATTATGCTTTGTTATCCCTTATAAATGCTTGAGATATAACGAATCTAGACATGGGGGGTGGGGGGCAATGTTTCCCTGGAACAGTGAGCTCTGCTTTTCCTTTGATGGCAGGTCAAAATACCAAGACATTTTTGCTGGGGCCTAGACAATTGAATTTTAAAACTCACTGCACTGATTCGTCATGTGCTTTTTGTTTCGCATTCACGATTAGAGTGGACATAACTTGACTCTGCTTTTTTAAGTTTTTCCTAAGTTCTCTCAAGAAAAATGCAGCTGTTCTAAACTGGAATTTTTCAGCATTCTTGAGAATTTTAAACAAGTAGAGAGCCCCACTTTATTTCTAGCATATACTTTTGGTTCATTTCTTGGTAGTGTTTATTAAAAAAAAAAAAAAAAAAGCACAAACAGTTTCAGCATTGGATACTTGCAGATTATCCTTGGAGAGGCAGGAAGAGGAAGCACTTAGGCCTCTCTGAAATTTCAGAGTCTGACCCCAGCTCTTCCATGCATACTTCTTGGGAGCTGAGTGATTACCCTCTTGCTTTATGTCTTGTATATCTGGTCTACCCGTTCTCGAATGCATATCCCACAGAAGCACCCTTAGCATTAGGGCACCTGGACACATATAGCAGCATAGGACCTGACTGAATACAGCTTATTCTTCTGTGACATATGGTTTCAAAGGTCTTTGCAAAAAGTGAAGGCGTGGTTAGCTGCAAAGGCCACACTGCCCCGGAGGTATACTGAAGCCACTTATAACAGTAAAAATCTGGGGTCAGATTGAAAGTCATGTTCGCATTTCATAAGAGAAATGGTGCTGGCGTATGGCTGCTGCTTTCTACATGACAGTTGTTCTGGTGGTCCAGGCACTGTGGGAACTGTGGTGTGGGCTGGAATTCTAACAGTCCCACTGAAGAATAAAAGAGACGCCTGTCCGTTTCGGCATCATAAGCTATCATGTGGCAAAGGTAATAAGGCCTTAATCTTCTAACCTTAAAAACATAACTTCCAAGAGCTTTTAAGAACCCAGTGCCTTCGTGCCTCCCACTTTTGTCTCTCCTTTAAAGTGGACAGGAACCCAAGAAGCAAAGAACCTGTTTTGGACAAGAGCTCCAAGCCATTTTATCCCTCTCTGTTCTCATGATTTTGTCTCAGGAATCGCACACTAGGAATGGCACACTTTTCATTTAGCCCATTGTGTCTTATGGAAAAATAGTTCAAAGTATTTACCTCAGAGTAGAATCTCTACCTTTTGTTTTAAGTAAAAATGAAAATTTCAGAATGCATGGGATATCATAAAGGAATTTGTACCCCTTACTAAAGATTTTATCTTTAGTTTGATGACTCCAGAATGTGGTACTATCCATCTTGAAAAAAAACCTAAATAGTACCAAACATTGTGAACCTTTAATTATGTATTAAAATTGAGCTTTTAACTACAGCTGCTTCTCTTAAAAGTGGTGCCTATTAAAGTCAATAATGTAATCCTCATTCCTTTATGGAAATTAAAATCATGTAAGCTTCTAATATAAACATTAAAATTCTGCTCTTCAAATAATTGCTTCTTATAAGTGACAACTGGACTATTTGTATGATAAGCACACAAGAGAGTGTCTAACATTTTCCAAAAGCAGGCTTTTGTTGCATCATCAGGTCTAAGAAAGAGTAATAGTAAAAGTTAACAAGCCACTGTAATTACTTAATTGTGTTACTACAGAAACTATAGAATATTTACCTTGGAAAGAAAATGTTGAAACATTATAAATTCTGAGGTATTGATAGAATTCAGAAGAATGCATGTTTTACATTGTGACACGTTAAAACAGTGTCTTTATTAAAGAAAAATTAAAATGTGACGTGATTTCAAAATCTTTAAAAGTCCTAAAACAGTGGACAATGGATAGAGGAAATTCAGAAAAAAGTGAAGGTTTTCAAAAAAGGGTAGTTTCAAAGTTAGATATATCTTGAAGGATAGATATTAACAAATATATTGTAAGAATTTATATTACAGTCACCTGGCAACTATGAAATCGATATGTTCTAAAACATGTCTTACAGAAAAGCTGTTCCAAAGCAGTTGCCATTTCAAATGTCAGCCTGAAGAAACTAAACTACCTGTACCATCCTTTCTTAGTTTATGGGAGGAAGCAGCTACGAGAAGCTACACTTGTTATACAAGCCTAAGAGTGTTCGTTGTAAGAAATACATATACATACTAAATTTTAAAAAGGCACACTTCCTGTGCCACCAGGATTTTTTTGAAAAACTGAAGCCCAAATCATGTGCATCCAGTACAATTCAGATGTATAACTAGAAACATAGCTACGTGCTCCTTCCCCACCATGGAGAAACTTCTCAAGGCTACCCAAAAGCCTATCCAGCAACGTGAGCCCCCAGATAATTAACAGTGGTGTTTTCCTCCACAAGCACAAGAAAACAGCATTTTCATTTCTTATCCATGCAGTTTTCAACCTATTTGTGTTACATACCTATATCTCAAGCATTTCTAACTTGTACTTTTTCAGAAAATAAACCACAAGATTCCTCTGGCCTTTTCTATCTTCTGATGTTTGTATACAGCAGATACATAAAAGAGGAGGGGTCTGATTTTAATTTTTTTTTCTCAGTTGTTTGTTTGTCTTAATGAAGTATGAATCAGCTTTTTCAAAATGTTTTCTATTTCTTAGCATTCCCAGGGAGTTTAGATAAATGCATGAACTTCCATCAACATATTTATGTTTCGTTTAATACTGGTGCTCGGGCCTTCAAGAAGAAAACAAGAGCCTCCTGAAAACTTATACAGGCTTTTTTTTTTTTTTCCAAGCATCTACTTAAAGACTATTACAGCAATTTGAAGGTTGAAAGGTAGGAAAGGGAAACGATTTTTCTTGCAAATGTCTGTTTTAAATTTCACACTGTCCTAAGACATGGGCTTTCTTGTTTCATTCCAGTATATTCCACAAGGTGGCACTTTCCGGGGGGGGGGGGTGGAATCTGAGCAAGGCTAAAGAGGTACTTAGCAAGACTTCATTCTAACTTTATTTTTCTGCACATACTTTACTCTTGCTTAGCACTTGTTTTTTTGGGGGGGATGATTGACCTCGATATTTTAGTTGTTCGCTAGGTTCTAAACAATTGTCTGAAGGGGAGTTGTACTTGAGAGTGAATAATACACCCATTTTGATCATTTAAGTGCATAAAGAGAGCCAAGACATATTTCTCAAGAAGCATTTATTTGAGGTACCTAATTACCTCACTCTTCTAGGTGCAGAAGTTACAAACATGGACAGGCTTAGTAGTTAAAAGGCAACACTCACCTGTGACCTGGATAGTTTTCTTAGGAGTTGAAAACTCCCGTGGCCTCAGCCAAAGTACCTGTACCCCCGTCTGGTGTTTTCCCATTTCCTACCATGATGGTCTTTATACATTGACTAAAATTTTAAATCCTCATTTAGAAATCAGGTGAGTAAAATAAGTAACACTGGTATTTAAATAGACAAAACGATTTTTTTTCTGAAGAATTGGCCATGCTGAAACAGAGCCCTTATACACTAAAAGGCATGGTAATTTCATCACAAGTGTAAATTTACAAGAAGTGCAATTTTGTAAAATTCCTGTCCAAGCACATGAGCATAATAACCTAGGAGTATATTTACATAAATCTTTCATTTCTCCACTTGGGAAGTTCTTTGACAACTTTCTCTCTGTATCTATATAGAGATATACCCATACACTGCTATGTTTTAATTCACAGGTCTGCTCAGAGACTGATCATCCCCCAGATGATTTTAGGTAATTTTAGAA